TTTTTCATTCGTTTGCTTTGGATACTCTCCAGATCCGTTTTTGCTTTGAACGTATTTTAGATGCTACTTTTATGCACCTAATAAAAATAATGTTAGAAAAACAGCATTAATCCGAGAATGATATAGAAAAAATAATAATGAATAAATATCATTATAAAATTAAAGGGATAGAATGAGTTTACTGTCTTAAGATTGTTGACCGAAGTAACAATCTGAGACGAAATCAATCCTAAGAAAATCAAACAAAGAAGTTAAACTTCATAAAGTAAATCAAAATTAAAGAGAGAAAAATACTATTTTTAATTTTTGATCAGTTGAGATCGGAATCAGTTGAGGCCTGTCGCTACACAGTTTCCTTAAGACATATTTTTGGCCACTCCTTTAGTGCTAAAGTTCGTTGGTCGTCTGTCTCCTAGGATACAACGACTAGATGAACAGCTACAGTAGCACAACTGTAATGATCACGAACTATCATTGCCTTCGACTATAACCGGAAAACTAGGAAAAAAAAGAATATTTTATAAGGAGAGAAAATATTTTTCAAGAGAGGAAATGTTCTTCAATTCTGAGATTTGAAAAACCTAATATGTTTGTTCACTATTTATAGGAGATTTTCAAGATAGATTTAATCCAACCAATATATTTTAATATTCAACTTTAAACAAATAATAATATCTTTTAATTTGAAATATTCAAAAGATAAAACCCTTTTTACCATTCAAACTTAAATATATATTATTTTAATTTAAAATATACAAAAATATATAATTATATTTAATATTCAATGTTAAAAAGATAACAAATATCTTTTTAAATTGACTTATTCAAAGAGTAATTATCCTACTAATATTCAAATTAAATAATATATTCAATTTACAATAGTCAAAAGGAATATGAGTTTAATATAAATATTAAATCCATCAATTAAATTCACTCTTTCTCTAACAATCCCCTGCATGAAAGAAATTGGTGATTTAATCAAAAACATTTTGGCACGATGTGGTGATAGCCTCTACGATTGATAGTTGTATAGGATAGGTGTCCTCATTTGAACTTTCCCTTGTGATAATATATTTACTTTACTGGTTAAACAATAGACGCGATGTCCTTGAATTGTTCTGATGTTTGTGTAAACGATGACATACTTCACACAACTACCCATCTGATAAGAATTTAATTCTCATGGGTATGTTCTTAAACCCATGGACATCGCCTGATTATGCAATAGTTTAAGTGAACTAAGCGACCTCACTTCATTCTCACATAAGTGACTTATGTTGCTCAGCTCACCGCATCACACAATGGTCATTAAAAGCTTTTTCTTAGCCTATACCACTTTGATCATTGTTTACATCATGGGAATAGACTTGGGATAAAAAACCCCCACAATGACCGTACACGAGTTATGCAATTAGGTTGTCCCTTTGAACCTAGATCTTGGGATCTCCAATCAACAAGGTAGGGTTTTCATTCACATAACACCTTTAAATTTCATGGACTTTAGTCTCATTCATTTTGATGTTTTCTCAACTTGATATTGATTTAACCCTTTGGTTAGCGGATCCAAAATTTATCCTTTGATCTTACAAAATTAACAGAGATAACTCAATTTGAGATCAATTATCTATGGTATTATGTCAACGATGCATATGTCTCGACTTACCATTATACTTGCTAGTCATGGTATAAGCATACTGTGGGCTCATGTTTCAGCCATTTAATAACATCCTTCAAGAAATTTCAAAGTTATTCAGCTTATTCTCCATACTTATCTAAAGCATCAAACTCAGATTTCACTATGAATCTAGTTATGACCGTTTTCTTAAGGTATTCCATAACACAACTTCCTTCCAATGTGAAACATGTTCACATGTGCCGTTGATATCTTAAATATCAAATTCCAACTAGCATCGATCTATCCTTCTAAATAATAGGATAGTCAAACAAAATACAATCCATTGTTTAGGATCTATTTTCATTTGTTTTGGTAATATGACAATTACCTTATCAAGATACCCCCACATTTGCAAGTGTTTGTATGACACATGTTTTCAACCATTTAAGATCGATCTAAGGTGTTAAGTGCATGCTAGTATGAAATATTATCATATGGAAAGAAGACTTGAGATGAGTCTATTTCTAATGTTCTATGGTATGATTTTATAAATACAAGAATATCATGGTTATGGTCTCTATGTGTATATGATGTACAAGTATATGTCTATATGTTACATTCGTTGTTATGCATGAACTATGTTTCCTATTACTCTATGTGTTACATGATCTATGTGGATATATGAAAAATGATATAAGCTATGTGACTATAAGTGATGTGAGTACATATCTATGTGATATTGACCTACGTGAATATATGAGAAGATGATATAAATTATGTGATATGGTCTATGTGATTACGTGAACACGTGATATAATCTATGTGATACAGAACTATGTGAATAATTAAAAATGTGAAATGATGTAAAAAGTAAAGCCCATAAGTATGTGTTATGAGAGCTAAGGGTATAATTGGCATGCCAAGAGTCAAGGGTTCTACGCGGTCCTTCGGGACAATTCTATGTGGTCCTTCAGAACATTCTATGTGGCACTTCGGTGTAATTTATACGAGCTGTGGTAACAACATTTGTTCATATCCTCAATGCACTCACATACCTTAAGTTCTCAGAAGTGTACCATGAGCTATTAAAAGAAATAAAATAAATAAACAATGTGTGATGTTATGTGTGTTGCTTTGTGAAATGTATTATATGATGTGTTACGAATATTAAATACAAGATTATATGTTCTAAATGGTTTTGCATAGTGACTGATAATGATATTGATGATGATGATGATACATATTATATATATGTGCACTTTTGCATAGTGACAATGATAATGATATTGATGATGATGATGATGATACATATTATATATATGTGCACTTATGCTTTTATTACATGGTATGTGTTATCGTTTCTTTAAATGATTATATTCAATGTTTAGAATATGATTAAGTGACGAGATGTTTTATTATATATTAAATATGTCTCACTAAGTCAACGACTTAGCGTGTGAGTGATTTTTCACACGTAGGTTCAAAGGAATCGGAAGATCGGGATTAGTGTGAGTCAAGACAGCATAGTTCTACTGAAGATCAGATCAAAATTGATTTAAGTTGTATGTTCTGGTGTATATGTTATTTTGTTGGCATGCAAATGAAATTTTAAATCGAAAATGCTCAGATCGAATTTTGTAAACATACTTGATTTTATTAATGTAAATTATTAAGTTTTATGTTCAATTTGAGTATGAATTTCTCCATTGTTTTGATATAATATAGTGTACAAATTTTTAAGAGTAAATATTTTGAAAAATCAATGTGACGCCTCGGGTTCGTATCAGGGTCAGATACGGGTTGGGGGTGTTACATTATGTCATATGTGATTTTTTATTTAATTATCAATAAATAGTTGTACTAATGTGCGATTTCCCATGGTTTCATACTCTTACCTTTTCTTTGATATTATTTGATTCTAGATCGAGGCAAAGGATTACGAGTTCCCCTAGTGTTTTGAAAACCTCTACGATAATAAGAGCATACTTACTATGCTCTGTTTCATTAAGTAGGGGTGAAAGCTTCGTCTTCGTGAGAAAATTGGTTCTCCGTATGAGCCTTAGCTATTAGCCCCTGGGGTTCGTACCCTATGTCTTCGTGAGAAAATTGATTCTCCGTATTGACACAAGGATATGTATCCTCTCGAATTGTACTCAATCCGCTTAAGCCTGAAGTAGGTGAGGACTGAGGGTCTGGCAGGTCCAAGGGGCACCAACAAAAACAATTTGATGACCCTTTTGGTGAAACTCTACTCGACGATATACTTAAAGTTAATTCTAAGTTTAATAAAAAAAAGTTAATTCTAAGTATTTAACATTTTTCTTATGTTATATTTTTAGATATCTAATAGTTTCAACTTATATTTTTAGGTATCTAGATTACAACATCTGTCAAATTCGGTTATTAAGTAACACATGTCGGTTGTATAGAATTTTAAAAATTTTATTTAAAAAAGAAACACTTTCTGAAATTATGTAATAATCTAAAGTTCCTTAAAACCCTATTTTTAATTCCTTGTTGTCGCCAATCGATCGAAATTTCAATGACGTGAGATTAACTGAAAACCTAACGGTAGAAAACCTTGCTCTAATCTCTAATTTCTAATTGTAACAATCAATCTATAATTGCGATGTGGAGAATCCCTTTCAACCAATCATGAAACCTTATATTTACACAATCATTGGATGTTTGACTAATTGAGAAAATAAGGGTTTTGGCCGTTGGATGGTTGATTGACAACGTTGGTGACGGTCAATGGTGCTAAAAGATTCAAATTAGGATTTTTCTACCTTGCATTTATTTTTATAATAAAATTTATTTTTAAGTATTTTTTAAAAATAAAACTATGTCTAAAACATGTCGATGGTTGTGTTTTTAACGGTTATTACAACAAAGACACCTAAAACAAGTGTAACGGAAAAAAATGTTAAATCACATAAAAATATTTTAAGCACCTAAAGTTAACTTCGGATATATTTTAGACACTTATTTTTTCTATTAAACCTTTTAATAAATATGGTATGGTATGATTCTATTGATCCGTTATCCGTTCATACGCGGAACACAAGTCTGATCTACACTTCACATAAGCTAATTGAGTAATTTGAGTAGTGTACCGTTCTTATGTTATTTTTGCATTATTAGTGTACTTGGCTGTCAAGTTATCAATCTAAAAGGAATTAATAACTCAATGACCAAAATATAATAAATCGATAACGTAAGTGATCGATACGTTATTTTATTTTCTACTTTCTAAAGTTCAATGATTAAAATAAGAAGCTCAAACGAAAGTGACCACCGTAGTTTACCCATATCTCTATGTCCATGTGATCCATAAACGTATTAGAAGAGTAAGTATTGTGTCCGAATGGCATCTTCAAATGTGTAACGTAACAAGGAGAAAGCATTTTATTGGCAAAGTGAAAGCATGTTGATATGGAATTGTGTCCTAATATCATCACATATTATAAAGTTATAGTTCACATAACTACATATATAAAGGCATATAAATAGCTTAGACCTCAAAGTCTTGGTGTGTGTTTAGATCTCACCATCCCACAACTCTTCGAAGGTCCTGTATGCCCCGAATGTTTCGTGTACGAACCCGCTGCCTCTGATCAGCCTCTCCTGGAAGACAAAAAACGAGCGATGGATGAGCCGAACTACACTCGAATCCTCCATATTTTGAATCATACGGTACAATAAGCCGCTTCATGGACCAAGGATGACTAACTTACCTGCTCTATTTCAGAAAACTTGGCAAACAAGTCTTCGGGTATGGACCAATCGAAAACATCAAAGTTTTGTTTGATCCTCTCTTCATTTGTGCTCTTAGGCAGAACACTGTGACCCACTTGCAGCCCCCAACGTAGAGCAACTTGAGCAGGGGACTTGCCCAATTTCTCTGCGACCATATTCAGCACTGGATGCTTGAGGACTTCTTTCTTCACCGTACCCGTGCCCGGGGAACCCAGTGGTGAGTAACCCTGAAACAACGGCAATGCAATGATGATTGTTTGAGGTGAATTCGAACATCACGACTCGTTGGAAGCTTTTGTAATCGACACATGTGCACTCACAGTTATATGGACTCCCTTGGATTCGCAGAATGCGTGTAGCTTCGGCTGCTGCCAGACAGGATGGCATTCCACTTGCAGCACCGCAGGAGGAACACGAGCTACCTGCAGCAAATCTCCGAGCTTCTTCGAAGAGAAATTGCTTACTCCAATAGCTCGAGCCTTGCCGGAGTCGTATAGAGCCTCCATCGCTTTCCATGTACTGGGTATGTTGGCTTGAGTAAGGTTCTCAGGCTTAAATCCAACTGCCCCCTTTTTCATGCTGGCAGGCCAATGAACCTTCAAACATTAAACGATCAAATTATCAATTCACTAAGAAATGATCATCGAAATTCGCTTATGTTAGCAAGGTAAATATAAATACCAGATAGAGATCTAGATAGTCCAGCTGCAAGTCTCGCAAGGTGCTATCTAACGCCACCGGAACATCTTCCGGTGCATGATTAGTGCACCTGCAGCAAGTACTAATTCATCGGTACCGCCATATAACAAGAACTCGATTGTTTAACTTATAGAAGTCGATTTCGAAGTGGTTTCATGTATGATATATGTAAAAACAATCGAAACGAGTTTCGAGATCGAGGCAAACCAGAGTTTGGAGGTTATCCAAAGATCTTCACGCCTCACAACACCATCTTCAAACAATTTCTTCAGAACAGAACCGATCTAGATCAACCAAAACCATTGGGGTATCAGTAAATTTCGTTCATCATTCATCAAAATCAAGACATCATTAATTAGTTTAATGCAAAACTAGCTTTAAAAAATGTTCATCCAGGAGAAAAGAATTGCAGCAAAAGTCATAATTACCTCTTGTTCGTTCCCATAGGCTTGAGCACAATCAATATGCCGATACCCAAGCTACATACAAAGAATGATAACAGGATCACTTAAAATCTCCATGGTTTAAACTGATTATCCAAAACTAAATTAAAACACCCACAGACACAACTTCAGTTCCTAGAAAAGAATCCAGAAAGACAAAAAGAAGTATGTAAAGAAAGAACCTTGATGGCAGTGGCAACAGCAGCGCCAACAACGCCAGGAGAAGCCTGCCAAGTTCCAAGTCCAGCAGAGGGGATCTTAGCTCCGGTGTTGAGCTCAAAGTAACGGATCGCTCTAGCCATTTTGTCCGTAGAGAACCGACGAATGGGACCTTGTTTATCGAGATGAACTGTTGTCGGCATTCGGCAAAGGAATCTCAACATTTCTTTCAAGTCAGAAACGTAATGGAATTGCACAACATAAAATGGTCCCTCTCATACACGTGTTACTTTATTGCTCTAACTTTTTTCTAAAAGAAGAAAAAAGATACTATATAGCTCTAAATGGGACATTAAGTTGATGAGTTTAATTTGACTTAAATTTTTTAAAATTACGTATAATTTAAAATTTTATGAGTTGAAAATTACTAAGCTGGATTCAAATTTTAAAATATTGATTTTTTTTTAAATTTAATTCGGTTGAAGTTTTAACTCTAGTTTGCTTTAAGCTTGAACTTAGATTCGAATTTAAACTTTAAATATATAAAACTTTTATATTATATTTGAAAAAATATATAAATATTAATATTATTAATAATTTAATTTAAATTTAAATATATTATTTTTTATATATTCGTAATTTTTTTGAGTCGAGTATCAAGTAATTTGTTTTGGCCGATTAAGAACTTGAATTATATTTGAGTTGGGATTTGAGTTTTTTTTAATGCAAAAAAGTTTAGATAAGGGTTGACTTCTTCGATCCAGGGTCAGGGTATACCTAAGACTCAATTGAGATTTACATAGGAATTTATAGATTGCCCACAAAGAATGACGATTGTAAGATTCGAACTCGACCTTACAAGCTCAAATTCTTAAATTCTAAGCATTTATGTCAACATCATCACCCTTTGCAATATTTTTCTTCTGTATATGTATTCAGGGAAATAATTTCCGAGATAATGTTTCAAAGGATTTAATTAAAATATAGTTCAATTTAGAATTCGACCCATAATTGTAGGACATATGATTTAATTAGCCCAAAGTGAAAAAGGAAACTCATAGAAATGTTCTTTTTGATAGAACTCTGTCAGACTTGAACCCACTAACCTAAAGTAGCCTCCTTTCTATTTCTGTTAATCGAATCAAGATTATCAATTCCACCGAACGTACAAATTATGATCTGCTAAGCTAATAATAAGTTCAGGGTGTTTCTTAAATCGCACGATTTTGATTATATCAGTTTGTCCCCAACTGCAAAATTTCCATTTACCTTGTTAAAATGTTTAACCAAAAAAGGAAGGTGATCTGGACTCTGGATTTGAGTTCCCATTAATGGAAGCACTTTAAGGTTCTAGGGTTTCTTTCCCTTATCTGCAAGGAGGGCCCTTCGATTTTAGGGGTTAGTTGGGGGGAAGGGTTGGGACCTTGAGCTTGAAGAAAGAGGATGAAGGAGGTGATTGGGAGGCCAGGAAGTGTTAGTGGGTTAACGCTAAGGATAACCCAATGTGCATTTGCTGCTGCGTCTATTGCACTTATGGTCTCTGTCTCTGGTTTCTCTTCCTACACTGCTTTCTGGTACTTTTCTGTTCTTCCTACACTGTTAAATTTTAAGCAAACATTAGCATGAAATTGACCTGTCTTTTAGACTTGTGGACTACTATTTTGCATCTTGTAAGGTGCTATTTCAACTTTGTTTTGACTCTAGTGTTTAGTAAATGATATTGGGTCTTGTTTTGATACTCTAGTATTCTGGTTTAAGTTTATTGATGATGTTTAAGTTCTAGATTCTGGTTTTGAAAAGTTCGTTTCAGTCTTAGTTTAGCTCAATTTGTCTCAAGGTTTATAGGCTAAATATTGTGAATCAATTCCATAGTTTACTCGCATTAATGTTTAGGGGTTGTTTGTTTACTTCAGAATGATTAAGCGTTGAATGATTCAAATGTTAAATGATTCATATGCTTTGAATGGTTTGGCTTTGAATGTGACATGTTGTTTGATAACTGGTTCTGAATGATTCAGAATTTACTTCTGTACTGAATCATTCAGAATTGTTTTGCTGAATCAGTCAGCACTGAATTATTCAGATGTGCGAAACAAACGCGCTGAATGGTTCCATTAAGAAGCAAACAAACAACCCCTTAGCCTATTAATTCTTCCAAAAGCGGATATTTAGCTTAATACGAAGTTCTGTAAATTAGCATCTGGTAATTTACTTGGTTAAGCCGAAAGGAATCATCTACCCTTTAGGGTGCGTTTGGTTCACGGAATGTAAGATTACCAGTGGGAATAAAATATTACCAGGAATAGGATTACCGGGAATGTTGTATTTTGTGTTTGGTTGGTTTAGCAAGAATGTAAGATTACCGTGTTTAGTTAAAGGAATAAAAGATTATTGGAATGTATATTTAACCAAATTGTCCTTATTATATATTTGTATAATATTACAAATTGTAAAATATTTATATATTTTCTTTAAAAAATTAAATTCATAATATTTATATAAATTTTTTATAAAATTAAAAATATAAAAAATGTTTAATGAAAGGGTAAATTTTTTTTAACCCCTGAATTTCATATAAAATTTTAATTATAGACTTTTTTTGTAAATCTAAAATAATTTAAGAATAAACTTGTAATTTAACCTTTGTATAATTTTTATTATTCAATGACAGAAGAATGATATTTTTGAAAAAAAATAAAAATTTAAGGGCATTTTAGTCCAAAACGCCGGTAATGTTACAATACCTAAGGGAAGGGAAGTAATGACATTCCCTGTAATATATTCCAAAAAATCTACTATTGATAATAAAACATTATCGGGAATGAGATTCCCGACCAACCAAATGTGGGAGTGTGGGATTCTCATCCCATGAGAATCCCACAATCCTTGAACCAAACACCCCCTTAATGTTATTGCCACAGTGGAGCCAAAGAAATCATAGACGTCTGATTCGCAAGACTTGGTGCAAGATTGTTTGAAGTTTGTTATTGTTTTTGTGATAGCAAACTTTGTTTGGAACTGAGTGCTTCTATCAGGCATAAGGGCAGGAAATTGAACAGAATTCTATGAAGCTTTTCTGCTACTACACGTAGAGCAGTAATGGCGGTTCCCAAATCTTTGTTTTATGATTTGTGCCTGCTAATAGTGACAGTCTAACAGAGCTATTCATTTATCTGAGTGACAATCAGAGGCACAAGGATAATATAAGTCTGAATAAACTTATTGGAACTGTGTAACCCTGAGTCTTCTTTATGCATGTCTGATCCTCTAAGGTTTCATTTAGTCGGTGCTTTTACTTTTTGGTATTTGGTCCTCTATTTCGATTCTTTAATACTCTTTTCCCTCATTTATATTTCTGAAATAAAGTGGCTTTGGATCTTATAGTTTCTGTTCTAATTTTCACCATACAATATCCATGGGAAAGGAGCGAACGGGTTGGGTTGGGTTGGATGGGTAGACAAGAGGTTAAACTAGAATATAAACGCACCATAATTGTTGTTTTTTGCAGTTTTTATGTTCATTGGGCTTTCTGTTTCAGCTACTTGATTGCATCTATGGGGCTTCAACTGCTATGGAGCTTTGGACTTGCATGTCTTGATGTTTATGCTTTGAGGAGAAAGAGAGATCTTCAGAATCCAGTTCTAGTGAGCCTATTCATTGTAGGTGATTGGGTATGAGGCTGTTCTCTAAGAAAAATGGCTGTCCCTTTTTTCCCATATGTATGGGGTAAGGGGGAGGTAAGATAGTAGGCTGCCCCCAACACCAGGTTGAGAGCAGCTTCCGTAGGAGACCTCCAAATTATGAAATGCCCTCCGTGGGACTTGATCTCACGACCACAAGGTTTAGAACCTTGTGCTCTACCAACTGAGCTGGATGGTCATTTCAAGAATCATCTCTAATCTCCTTTAGGTATTGAGGCTGTTCTCTAAGAATCATCTCTAATCTCCTTTAGTCAGGAAATGGATGCATTGACAATGATGTAAATCGGGTTTTGGACAATGTTTTTCCTGCTAGATATGGAATTTGTCATATTCCCCATCAGCTGTCCCATATTTTTCCCATATTCTTCATGTTTAGGTTGTCTGTGATCCCACAAGTGGTTTACATGGCTGTTATTTCAATTTTATTAACCTTGTTTTCAGTCGGTTACACGGAGCTTAACTATGCGAGTAACTCTTCAGCCGGAATTGTATGTCACAGGTCACAGCTATGTTATCACTGGCAGCAGCATGCTCATCAGCTGGTGTTATAGTCCTGTATGAAAGAGACTTGGACTTCTGCAAGCCTCAAAGTCGTATCCCGTGCAGGCAATTTGAAATATCTATAATTTTGGCGTTCATCACTTGGCTTCTAATCTCAATGTCGTCTCATGTCATGTTCTGGATCTTAGCCTCTTTCTAGGGGAGTAAGGGATTCCATACTAGCACATAACAGTATCTCCTACTTGACATGTAAATCCTTTTTTGCTTTCCTTCCCATTGCCTGAGGAATTTTGCATTTTCCTTTGCACATCAAGGAAATTTGATTTGGCATTCCATTAATTAGCAATCTTGTCAAATCTGTTGCTTTATGGGATTTTAAATGAAGATTTGAATTGAAAGGACTGTGAACTTGATTTTCTTACAGCTTCCAACAGAAATAACATGTGTCTAATGTCTGCATCCGGTTGTCTTCCGGTAACTAAATGCCTGCTGCTCTCCTCGAGTCTCCAAGTCGATAGGCACTCGGCCATTGAACTTATTCGAACTGGATTTTTGCCTGATAATAACGATAAAAAAAAAGCAGGAAAACGGGCAACATTGACAACCAAATTGCTATATCCTTGAAATGTTGATTCCAAGTTCAACTTTGTGATCACATGACAATTTCTGGCTTCAAAATACTGGTCTTTATCTCCTTGTGAGGCAGGACAACACCTCCGTTGCTGTAAACTTCATCTCCGAAATGAACATCTTCTCCTAAGATTGTCATGTTTTCCAACCGTGCCCACCTTCCAACCGTCGAATGCCAGCCAATAATGCTATTGGAGACACAAGCATGCTTCTTGATACGAACCCCACGCATTATGGAACAGCGTGACAACCTCACGCCGGATTCGATTACACACAAAGGACCAATGGCTACATCAGGTCCAATGAGGCAGCCATCACCAATTACAGCACTCTCATCTACCAAGACATTACCGATAAAGTAAGATCCAGATGCCAATTCTGCAGAGGATCTTTTACGCAAGGAGTCCAAGTAAAATCTCAGGCCAGTAATATAATCCTTTGGTTGTCCAATGTCCATCCAGAACCCAGGTAGCACCATCGCATAAAGCTTATTCGCTGCTGCAATATTTGGGAAGACTTCTTTCTCGATTGAGGTGGGTCTCAGTTCAATTCGGTCAAGAACGGACGAGTCTATCAAGTAAATCCCGGCATTAATCTTGTTACCAACAAACACCTTCGGTTTCTCAACAAACCTTTCAACTCTGCCAGTAGTTTCTTCCATAACTACAACACCATATTTCGATGGCTCGTCCACCTTGGAACAAAAGAAACATCCTTTTAGGAAGGGGGAAATTGTCTACTCTCGATTAAGAACACGTACGCTAAACACAGTTTTAACACTTTACCTTCGTTACCATAATGGAAGCTTCACCTCCATGAACTTTGTGAAAACTTATCATTTCTTTGAGTGGATACTCGCTTATAACATCACTGTTGAGGACAAAAAACGGCTCACCAGAGCCATCAATCAACTTGTCTCTAGCCAGAGCAAGAGGACCTGCTGTGCCAAGTGGTTCAGTCTCTTGTGAACAAGTGATTTTGATGCCCAGCTTTTCCTCAAACTCCTTCAGGAAATTCAACATAACCTGCAAAAAGTATTAGGAAGAAAAATCCATGAAGCATTACAAAAGCTAACTACAAGAAAATAATCAATAACAAAATGGTATCAACATGGAAATTTGAAGCCGTGGAAGGGCACTTTTCTATGTTACCTCTGGTTGGTAATTGATGGCCAAAACAACTTCAGTAACTCCAATAGCTTTCAGAGCTTCAATCTGGTAGTATTGAAAACAAACAAATTCCTTCGAGTTCATTCGATTAACAATATAATGTGGAAGAATCAAACATTTTATCATAGAAGTTAGTCATCTTTCAATAACTATGTGTAGATAAGAGGAAAATGCATAATAATGGGGTTATAGAATCATCAAGGCATAATGCAAAAACTAGCCCCCAACGTTTACCAAAATGGTCATTTTGGCCTTTATTCTTTTTTTTTTTGGAGAACATTTTGACCTTAACATTTCATTCTAGCGCCTACCATTTGATCAAATATCCACTTTGGCCCTCAAAGTTTCATCTTAGGTTAAAAAAAACTTCTATTTTAGAGCATTAACCGTTTAACCATCTGGATGGGCTTTTTTAGTAAAAAAGAAGTTGGAACTAATTTTAACAGTATGTGAATCATCAAATATATCTTAAGCAAATGGACCTGGGAAAAAACCCATGTTCAAACCAGTAATAAACCCTAAATATGAACACATGGAGATACCAAACATATACACAATCACCAACAGCAAAACACCATTAAAGCCAAAGGAAATCAGGAGAAAATTTAAAGAGAGAATAAGAACCTGATGCAATATCATCGGTTTGTTAGCGAAATCCACCAGAGGCTTTGGGACGCTAAGGGTCAAGGGCCTCAATCGTGTTCCGAAGCCACCAACGAGAATGAGTGCTTTCATCTTGATATCTCACAGTAAAAATCTGTATTTCCTGTAAAATCCCATAAATCATATACAACAAAAACAGTGGAAAATTGATGGTAGATGGGGATCTAAGGTGACAGGGACATTGAAAAGAAAGGAACTTGAACTAGACTTACGGAACTGGGTTTGAACAGAGTTTTGTCGTGAGAGCTGTCGGCTTGTGACAGTGATCTTTGCGGTCTTTTAACTCTGATTCTGAGAATGAATCTGGAAAAAAGTAGGATGAAATTAATGCTGTAATTGATTCTTCGTCCGAGTAAAGCAAGGCTTTTGAATCTTTGATGAATTTACAAGGCCCTTGCGACCTCAGGCCATGTGGGCTAGTGTAAATGTATAATAAAGTGGCCTTCTCTCTATTTTATTTTATTTTTACTTGATGTGGTTTTAAATTAGCTTAATATCAAAATAAGTGTCCAAACTATATATATTTTCTCAAATAGGTGTCTAAAATATTTTTTTGACTTATTCTGGTGCCTAACGTTACAAACGTTACTTATTTAAGTTCCCGACCATCAAGGTGTTAATTCCTCTATTAAGTAACATGTGTCACAACTTAGTAATTTTAAAATTTTTATTTAAAAATTAAAATTATATACATATTTTAAAAAAGAAAACACACATTTTGAAATAAATCCAAAACTTTGAAAACATTTATTTCAACCCCTAAACCCATGCCGACAGTCGCCTTTTGTTGTCGATGAAGCTTCACCCGACCTCCCCTTCCCCCGTCGACCAAAACCCCCCATGAAATAGTGATCGGTCGTCGACGAATAAATGTTTCATATCCTGCGAACCCTAGGATGAAAATCGCGATCCATCCGACGGCCAATTGACGAAAACTATGACAACTTATAAGTAGGAGGATGGTATGGATTATGTCGATGGCGATGGTCGTGGCCGGAACGAGCGGCGGCAGCGGATTAAGGTTAGGATTTGGGATTTTGGGGTTGTTTTATAATATAAGAAAAGTTAGTGTTTTCTCTATAAATATCATAATATTTTTACTTTTTTTAAAAAATAAATTTCAAAATATCATATTATGACATGTGTTACTTAACAGGAGAAATTAATGTCGTTGATGGCTCGGACACCTAAATAAATAACGTAGGTAACATTAGGCACCTAGATGATTTAAAAAAATTCCAGTTGCCAATCGAAGCTAATCAGCGTCCGAACATACGACACCATGGGAGAATAACATCCCGCAGCATCATTCCTTCCGAGCGCATCGATTAGTTCCTTAGTATCACTCTCAACTATCAATCGACGGATATTCCTTTCCCATGCTATGCATAAACCTATATATATACCCCACAATTCTGCATCTATTGCCAAACAATATCCAATACGCTTTGAAAAACCCACAACCCAATCCCCCAAGTGGTTTCGAATAATACCTCCGCACGTCATAAGACCCGATGCTATATTCTGTGCCCCATCCGAATTCAGTTTCAACCATACTTCCACAGGAGCTTGCAACATCACGCTTCGAGGAACCTTAGAAAGTCGAGGACCCTGCTGCTACCGCCTTCGAACAAGGGCTCTGGCAGTCTCCTCCGTCAGCCGCAATGTGCGTGGAACAAGTCTTTCATGCTCTATATACTCCATATCAAAGATGAACATGTTTCTACGATTCCAAATATTCCAAATCATCAAACCAAAGAAAAGATCCCAACCCTTCTTAACCACGGGAAAATAATTCGGTTGCCAGAGATTTCTGTCAATCCAACTAACCCTATCACCACTCATAACTTCCTCAAATAAGCTAGGTTTAATAACAACCCTCCATGCTACAGAACCACTCTACATTCTTGAAAAATATGGGTCACGCAGTCCACCGATGCACAACATCACAACTCGAATCAGTCGTTAAATGTCGACGTAAACGCTCATGATTCGATAATAATATGCCTATACAAATTACCCAAAGCAGCATTTTAATCCGAGGCTAGCCCTTATATGATCGTATAATGTCCCCGGTCTAATTCTCACCATCATCTACCCTTCGTGCGTCATAAGCATTTGCCATTGAGAATTTTCGTCTCTTATCCAGTCTCCACTCAGGTAAGTCTGGATCATTCGTAATTACAGGAGGACGAACGGCTTGCAAAGCCAAGTAGCCCATGGTCGATAGACATTCCCTCAAATGTCGCCACATCCACTCCCCATTCTCACTCACATAACAACAAACCATAATCCCTCGCAACAGAAGAGTCACATTCGGCTGCAGATGATGAACAAGTGGTCCCAGATCCCCTAGCCAATCATCATACCAAAAGTCAATTGAAATTCCATTGCGAAGGTTCCATACCACATTCTTCCTAACATCCTCCTATACCATCGACAAACCACGCCAAAGTCGAGAACAAACTGATCGGTTAATATTCTCCAAGAGGCGACCATGAACCTTATATTTCGATCGAAGAATCCTAGCCCATAGACACTCCTCATCCTTAATAAGATTGAAGGTCGTCTTCATTAAGAACGCCTCATTTTGAACCTGAACTCTTTTGAGACCTAAACCACCATTCTCAATTGGTTGATAAAAGATCATTCCAATTAACTAGATGCATACCCTTTTTATCAATCGAACCATCCTAGATAAAATTCCTAATCACACGCTCAATCTCATCACTGTCGTAACCGGTTTTCGTCCGGGCACGAAATATTAAATTTGGCGGGGAAATTGATGTGAATAAATAATTTTGAAAATAATTTGTGAGTCGCCATCGGCCTTTTGGATCAGGTAGGTCGAATACCTAAAAATTATCTTTTAAAAGAGTTTTTAAGAAAACCATATTTAAAAGATGAACTGATCTGCGTTTTATAACCAAAAATTCGTTCTTTTTAATAATAAAAAGGGATTCGTGGTCGGTTACGTTTAGGGAAGGATTAGCACCCCTACAACGCCCAAAATTGGTACTTTTTAATTATAAATTGTCTCTATTATTAAAATTTAAAAATTCAAAAATATATTTAATTTATAATCCTATTATTTCAAAATTATATAAAAAATATTTATTTATTTAAAAATATCCGAAAAGAACTTCTAGGTGCCTTAAGACAGCTCTTTTTCTTTGATATTGATAAATATTAATAATAATAATATATTTTACTTTTTAATTTTAAAATATCAGAATAGGACATCCAGTTGTATTAAGACTGTCATTTTTCTTCAATATTAAAAATAAATATTTAAAAAAGTACTATTTATTATATTTATAAAAATATTTAATAAATATTTAATAATATAATAAAAACACAAATACTACTAAAACAATATATTTAAAAACAATAAAATAAATGAAAACATATAAAATAAATGAAAAAATAAAATTAAAAATCTAATTCAAAATTAATCTAAATTATAGGGATTAAATATGTTATTTCTTTATTTGGTGACTAAAAAAATTATCTAAAATTTGGATATTAGAATCAAATAAATTAAAAGTATAAACTAAGGTTTAAAATATTATTTATTAAAATTAATGGATTAAATCTGTAATTTATCCTAAATATATTATTTTAATATGAAGGACTAAAATAAATAAAATTAAAATTCGAAGACTAAATTAAAAATATTATAAATTCAATTTAGTGACTAAAATGTAAAATTTACAAATACGAAGGACTGCGGACGGGGTTTAACTATTTCATAATTACACGCATAGTCCTTCCCGAAACGACGTCGTTCGGGAAGGACTATAAGAGTCCAAACCGGCTGGCCCGAAGGGCCAGCCATTTCATTTCTTCTCTTTTTTTTTTCTTTCTTAAGCAGAGAGAGAGAGAGCCAGAATTCTCTCTGGCCTCTCTCTAGATTCCCTCACCGGAGGGAATTCGGCAGCCGTCTGCCGTCGCGAGTTCTGCCGCCGACCACCGCCGCCGGTGGCCGGAAAAAATATTTTTTATCCTAAATGTAGATCGGACCGTCCTAATGACGGCTCCCAATCGGAGCAAATCTACAATAATACCTTCGGCTTTTCGAAGTTTTGGTGAGATCCGGTGACGGTTGGGGCTCTCCGATGACAGGGTAAGCTTTTGCCTCTCTTCTCTCTTTTTCCTTGCTGTGTTGACTGACTGAGATCGTTGGTATAGTTTGTTTTTTTTTTCTTTCTCTGTTTTTTTTTCTGTCTCTGTCTCTAGTTTTTTTTCTCTGCCTTTTTTTTTTTCAGGTTCGGGTGGTGGCTTTTATAGCCACCACCGTTGTAGCTGTCGGACCAGTCCGAAGAGGGGGCCTCGGTGAGTCACCGGACTACCAGTGGTGACTCACCCCGTAGCCTTGCATGGACGGCTGGCGTTGATCTTCTGGAGTCTTCCTTCTGGACGTGGCAGCGGCGGAGGCGGCGAGAAAACTGTCGGCAGCCGCGTAGAAGCTGGGTCGGCGCCGCGTGGCCCTAGGGTATCAAACCCTAGGGTTTCTCTCTGGCACCATCTGGACCGTTGGATCTTGCTAGATCCAACGGCTGTGAGCTGAGGGGGGGTAAATTAGGGTTAGGAAACCCTAACTGAAAACCCAAGTATTTAGGGTTTCTGGTTGGATTTGGACCGGTTCTGGTTGGTTTATAACTGGGCCGGTCCAGTTGTAATTGGTCTGTAATTTATTATTTATTTAATATATATTAATAATAATAATGATAATAATAATAATAATATAATAATAATAATATAAATAATAATAATAATAATAATAATATGGATAAAAAAAATTAGTATCTTCAGCTGCCTCTTTGCTCATTCTTGTGTTAACAAGAATAGAGCAAAGATGAAAAGATAATAAATTTTTTTTATCCATTTGGCTTTACTTTGATCATAATGGATATATTGAATAATTATTCTCTTTCTCTAGATGAGTTCTTCTTATTATGAACTTTCTGATGGGGATGATGATGACCTCCTTTCTATGATAGAGTCATTCAAAAGGTTGAATAAGCTCTTGATGAGTTCTTCCCATTATGAACTTTCTCTAGAAAGGCTAATGCTAATCTATCTCCTTCTGTGATAGTATCAAACAAAGGTTGAACAAGCTCTTCTCATTATGAACTTCTTCTTCCTTCTTCAGATGAGTTCTTCTCATTATGAACCTTCTCTGGCAAAAATAATCAAGTGATGAATTCAAACAAAGGTTGAACAAGTTCTTCTCATTATGAACTTCTTCTTCTTCAGATGAGTTCTTCTCATTATGAACCTTCTCTGGCAATGTTGATCCATCAAATGATGAATTTAAACAAAAAGTTGAACAAGTTCTTCTCATTATGAACTTCTTCTTCCTTCTTCAGATGAGTTCTTCTCATTATGA